AAAACAAGAGCCGAAAACTTCAATATAATTATTTGAATTAAATTGAATTTTTGGGAAAATTTTGATTCCCAAAAATTTCTGTTGAAGATGGAACAGAGCTTAGTACTTTAATTCAATTTAATTCAAATAATTATATTGAAGTTTTCGGCTCTTGTTTTGAAACATGAGAACTTTTATGAAGCGTTGGAATCTTATTTTAAATAAATAAATATATATATATATATATATATATATATATATATATATATATATATATAACTGCCTGATGATTGCGTGAAAGCGCATGAAACTGGAAATAGTGGTCGGTCACTGCCCACCTGAGATTTGAATTGATATATATATATATATATATATATATATATATATATATATATATATATAAAAGATATTTTAGTAAATGTATTTGCATTGATAAGTCCAGGAAAAACTACTTTCCCATGGACGAAATGATCATTGTTTGAATCTCATTAATTGTAATTTACAGATGAGAAAAATACAGTATTATGGTATGCTACATTTATGGGCAAAAGTGCTCTGTATCAAGGATATAGAGTATGCAAATATAAAAGTGGACACTGATGTCAACGCCGAGCGGCAACAGACAGTTTCATGCTTGAACGCAATCTTCAGGCCATACGTGTTGCGTGTTGGCTCGACTATTTATATATACTGGTTAATGGTGCATTATGGTCTACTGTATTATCCTAATGGTTATTGGGTAGGCGGTAGCGGTCATATTTCATAATATTCTAGAGGCTAATGAGGTGATGATCTAGTGTGTTCCTAGGATCGCTGCGCAGCTGACTACCTGACTAGCCTCCCCTCAGATTTCTCGGTTGCCTAACAACGTCTGAGTCCCTGTGAAGTCGCCAGACCATTTTTCCCCTCTCCTGTCTACTTCTTCTTTTGCCTTGTGGGATGGTAGTGAACAAATAGATTACTTTTATGACATGGGCATAGAATTTCAACTTTCTGCTCATAGCAGATCTTCCAATGGACGAATACCTCTCCGACTTCCAGATAGCTGCAAACATTAAAACAACAGATAGATCATAGGAAATGAAGAAATAACAACAAAGACACAGATTAAGAAGTTTACTTTCTTTTTTTATTTATTTATTTGAATGTTTCAAATAATAACAAAGTGCACATAATCCAAAAGGTACACTATAGAATGAATGACACAATAAATGTGGTGCATAAATAGGTAACGTACTCTGTCATTTGTGTCCCAAAATGAGAAGATGTAAAAATTCAACTCAATTTTGATAATTAAAGAAAAGGATTTTGTTTTGTTGTTCAAGAAAAAAAAAAAGAAAAAGAAATATTTTCCGTCAAAGCAAATTTTCTAGCACACAACATTAAATTCAGTTCAGAAAATAAAATGTCAAATGATTGCTAATTAATCACCAAATAAAAAGAAAAATTACGTTCAATACAATGGATATAAATCATGAAAAAAAATACATGCAGTTCACTAAAAAAAAATAGGAGTTCACGAATATATAAACATGCTAACTCAAAAAAGCAGGATTTTCCCCATTTGAAGCTAAAAAAATATATAGCTGCCAAAAATCGGTGTATATATTTTTATATTTGACATTTATTATTACGATTATTAATTCTTGAAGAAGCTGATCAAGGATAATTATTTTGTTGGCCTACGAATTATAGAATTTCGTGAGCTCAATGTTTCAACGACATTAATATCACGAAATATATTCGCCTCTATCAAACCAAAAGGGTTAATTCTTTAGAATTTCTATTTTATTTAATCAGTGTCAAAATCAAATCGATGAATGAATTTTACTTTTATCTTCAGCATTAAATGAGCCGAAAGTTAAATGTTTTAAAACATCAGACATGTTATTTAAACATTTTTGCATATAATATATACTTAAATATATATATATATATATATATATATATATATATATATATATATATATATATATATATATATATATATATATACGATTGATATTAAAAAAACCTTTTTTTTTCTGAGAGGAAAATCCTACTTGGAATATGAATAAAAGTGTATGCTTATTCTTGCAGACGTCTTGTTGGGCATAGGGTCGCAACTACATTAATTGATGCTGTTGCGATGTCAATATCAAGTTATTTGTTGCGGGGCCAGGATGCTGGATGACACCTAAAATGCTCTGTCAGACAGAATTAAAGGGTATACATGCCTTTCGGAATAGCAATAGTGAGAAGTGAACACAAATTGCCTTCATATGAGTTTTAACTCGCTTTTCCGATTCCATTCTTTGTGCTACGCACACCATGAATATTCACTATGGAAGTTATATATATATATATATATATATATATATATATATATATATATATATATATATATATATTAAATATAACAGACAATGAATGTCTATTATGGCTGATCACGAGCCGTTCTAATGTTCGATGGTTTACTTTAATAAAGTGAAAATAAAGACAAAAATTGTCCAAAATTTGGATATTTTATATTTAGTTGGTCCTAACTTTTGGCTCATATCAGCCATCCTCAGAGTGTTTATACAAACATTAAACAAAGATATCCACCATCAAAGATGATATTTTATTATTTTGACATAGAAAATTGTTATGCGACGATAAGGGCCGCGGAATAGAAGACGCAGATCATAAGTTCAAGATGCGATTCTATGACGTCATACCACGTAATTGACTGAAGTATTACAACAGAACTAATGTCTAGATGCAATGTAATGTGTTGAAACTAGTTTGGAATGTAATTTTGTTGAGTGTGGGTTGCTTCGTTTTAATGTAGATAGCCTCCAATATCTGAAGGTTCTTCTTACTGAGTGAATGTGTGATAATAGCAAAATATCATCTTTGACGATGGATATATTCGTTTCATTTCTGTATAACGCCTCTAAGGATGGCTCATCTAAGCCGAAAGCTTAGGACCAACTTAATAAAAAATATCCAAATGTCGGACAATTTTTGTCTTTATTTTCACCAGAAATTAAAGCAAACATTCGAACATTAGAACGGTTCCTAATCAGACATAATAGACATTCATTGTGTGTGATATTTAATAATATATGTTTAAATAATGATCTGCTCCTGTATTTCATGGCTACTAGAAACATAATGGAATTGCCCATTTTCATAGGAAAAAGGCGGGAAAGGAAACGGATATACGCTTAAAGCGTGATAGTAGTTACCCAGTAGGTTATTTTACATTATCCTAGAAGTGTTTTTTTACATTAAGCATAGTGTATGTTTGTTTTTTACTCCTAGCACACTATATATATATATATATATATATATATATATATATATATATATATATATATATATATATATATATATATATATATATATATATATATATATATTATGATCAATGTTACTTTTAGTGGGTACACGTGTTTGAGTTGACAACACTGTTTTATTTTATATTTTATTAAACAGTGAAAGTAATATCAACTGGCTGACATGGAGTAGTCCTAATTACAAAAAGTGTACCTCACAACAAGAATCGAACCACCTGCACCCACTTTTTTTCATTAGGAAAAAGACCACACCTATAGTCGGCGCGTGACGAGCAACAATAATAGTAAACGAAAGCTCATTTACATATTTAAGGAATACACGTGAACACACTAAAATAACTTCTTATAGTAATAAGAAATAATATCAGATTAAAAAAATAATCCTTTAATATATATATATATATATATATATATATATATATATATATATATATATATAGTTTTAACTAAAAAAGTAGGTAATCGAAATGTTATTAAATTTAGTGAGATTAAATGCATATTTTATTAAGTTTTACTTAATCTGGTTTGGACAGTTGAACATCTTTTTTTGTAGACTTATTGTGATTAACATAACGTTTCGGCCGATTCGTTCTTCAGTCAATAAACTGTGGGAAAACAAGTAAACTGCTTTCTTCCAGGATAAAACAATTTGTCCAATTTTTTTTTTTTTTAAGAAAGAGAATTCCTTGTTTTCTCACAACGGCTGGAGAATAAATGTGCTGAAACGTTTTATTAACATCAGCAAGTATGTGAAAAAGAAGTTACTGGAGGATTTTAGAGTATATTAAAGATCTCAAATTTGTATACAATTTCTAAGTATCGTCTTATTTTTTTATTCTAAAACAAATATTTCCCATTATTATTGCCATTGCCCCCTAGGAGTAATTATTTGCTAATGGTACGTCTTTTATAAATATACATACAAACAAGATCTATTATCAAACAAGCACAAATACAACATTGAGAACCGTAAGCATACGCAACCTTAATGCTTTCATATTTTTCAGTTTTTACTTTTTTTCTTGATATTTTCCAGTATAAATGTGATTAGTTTATTCCATAGATGCAAAAGTATTTTTCGGTGAATATTATCAATTTGTTTGGTATATACGTCGCGTACAACGTAATCTTATGTTTTTGATTGATTTTGATTATGCCAAGTCGGGTACAAGGCCACATTTATAGAACCCCGTAAGAGGATTGAAATAATTTCGATGCCTTACAAGACCAGCTCGCTTTTCTCTGTATTACAATCGACTTTAAATCTAGTTTACGTCTTTCCAGACTTTCATATTATCAACTTTCTGAAGTGAATAATTATATTTTACTAAGGGACATATGTCTTTCATAGTGCAATAAGGTTTTGAAGTTAGTCTTCGCGCCTAATATGGTATGCAGTTTTGACCAGGCACTTGATACGAATCACACCCATCAAAGGTATGTCAGCAAAACTTCCTTATTAAAGAATTTATAAATTAATTTTAATTTTTTTTTTACTTCCAGTGATTCTCTACATAACTTACTTAAGAATGTTAGGATTAGTAATTAACCCATAGCTGGGGGAGAAGAATTTGATTCATACCTTTCCCAAGTGTATTTGCGCGTAAGTAAATATAACGAACCCAACGAGAATTGGAACTCCACACTCTGATTAACAATTCCAAGCCATTAACCATTACACCACCCGCACATCCCAGTTTACAGCACCTGGTATGCCCAAACGGTCACCCATCTAGATACTAACCAGGCTCGACGTTTACTTAACTTCAGTGATCGTACGGGAAACGGTATTTCAACGTGATATGGCCGTAAGCGTAAATTTAAGAATGTGACAAAAAAAGTGATGTTAAAAAGTTAATAAAATCAATTTTAATCTTAAAAGTGTGAAAGAAGCAAAATATGGTACAAACGTGTTAGTATGACTCTTAGACACGAATGAACACACAATATGATGAATAAAAGAACATCTCGCTGAACACAGCCCAAAAGATTCTGTGTAAAACAAAAGAACAGAAAAAGAACCGTGTAAAAGATAGCGTCATGGCGGAATATATTCCAAGATAACTCCTAATGCGACCGTCGGGTGTGAAAGGCTGCAGGGTAATTGGTGTATGTCACACACTTTGACCCGTACATTCATACGAAAAACTAGGAATTAAAAATGTTTGATTTCCGGGTTCTGAGAGGTAGTTTATAGAAATCAAAGCAAAAAAGGCAGTCTCTACTATAAAAAAAAAAACAAATCTGTTATAAAAGTCTAGGTACCATAGAACTTCGCTATGAATATAAGCGCAGTAATAAATTGGTGATGAGGTCTCATCAGTTGAGATGGCTTGATGTAACCGTAAGTTCTATGCTAATGGATTCTTTTCTCGCACTTCTCTCTTATGGAACTTCCTTCCGGCTCCATGCTTTCCAGCCGAGCCTTTTCTTCAAAAATTTAAATGCAATGTCAATCGTTATCTACTGTCCTCAAGATTACTCTTCTTTTGTATTCGCTCCTTAGTAATGTTTCTGTTTTCTAATGCTTCCACACCCAGTAAACCCTTGAGTCTTAGTTGCTTTACTGCCTTGCTTGGGGTGAAAGCTCAAGACAAGACCTGAGAGAATTCACCAAATTTCAGAACCAGGGAGAGATATCTGAAATCTCTTGGACGCATAATGAGGAAGGAGGGCTTAGAAAACTTAACATGCGCATGGCATATTGAGAAATAGGAGAAGGCAGCTAACTTGTGTGAATTGATGGTGGTATGAGGGTGCGGGAGAAAAACTTCTAGGGTCATCAAGAGATAGGAAGTCATGGTTGACCATGTCCGAAGGGACGCAGCTCGTAAAAGAAGAACGGATCTATATTTTTCTTTTTAAATCCTATATTTATTTTCTCTCTTTCGAAAAGCTTTTAAGATACAAATGTCACTTTGGAAAAATACCTAGTTAGCTAGCTAGCTAGCTAACTAGATAGATAGATAGATAGATAGATAGATAGATAGATAGATAGATTGATTGATTGAATGAATATTGAAAAAATCATATACATCATTCCACAATGTTACGATAATCGGGAAACGATTATATTATATTATATATATTAAATATATATTAATATTTTGGACGGTTTTATCGTTTATTTCCTGCCGAATAAAGAACGTGCGTACGTAAATAGGTATATAAAAATATAGAAAGAAATTAAATTTATGTAGTTATAACAATTTTTTACTTAATCTATCTATATAGCGCTATATCTGCTTGCGGTCATATGACGTTGAAATACCGATACTCGGCAGATTAAGTAACGTTGAGTCGGGTCAGTATTCAGATGGGTGATCGTTGAGAAATAGGTGCCGTAAGCTACTTGACAGGCTAACCGGCAATGGATACAACCTCGCTACTTCGCTAACAGAACCTATCTAACAGAAAACCTCGATATGCTTCTGGATTGACAGGTCGCAAGACCTACCTGGAGTTGAGTGATATATATATATATATATATATATATATATATATATATATATATATATATATATAGATAGATAGATAGATAGATAGATAGATTTGAGAAAAATCTATGACAAAGTGAAAAAGGCTTTCTTGTAACGCGTTTTTTGCCCTTTAGGACTTCAGTGATAACTATTTAGTCCGATGTAGTACGAAACGCGTCACAAGAAAAGATTTTCCACTGTCATACATTTTTCTCCAATATTGTTTTATTCTTCTTCATATATAAAAATGTATATCGTTATCTCGTGTATGTATATATATATATATATATATATATATATATATATATATATATATATATATATATATATATATATATACAAAACTTATAAACTTATTTTTTTTTTAAATTAAATTTAAAATTGCCAGCGACCCCTTTTTTCGTGCACATGTGTAGTCACGTTTTAGAGTGAAAATGTGCAGAGAGATAGAAATGGGGGGTGTATCAGTATGGAGATGGATTATATATATGTGAATATGATATATGTTCATTCGTGCACATCAGAAGCTAGAATCCAAACACACACTTATGAGTAAGTCTATGTTGATTGTACAATTTAAAAGTCAAAGTTTCTTATTAAACTACCTGATTTTACAGTGAGTCATAATGGTTTGCTTTTCATTTTCTTTTCTTTTTTTTTCAATAATATTTGCACAAAATAAAACTGTTGTAAATTTTCAAGCAAATGTTTTTATGATTTAACTGAATCTTATCAAAAGAAACTACGTTTTTTTGTTTTGTTTTGTTTGCTTGCTTTATATTCTTTTTTATTCATTTCTGTTTTTTTTCTTTTTTGTTTTTCTCTTCCTTTTTTTCCTAAGAGAAGTAGGGAGAAATGATTGTGATAAAAAAAATGTAGAGAAAAAATGTCGCTTAGCTTCTCAAAACAATGACGATTTTGCCGCCATTTTCCTTATATAGTTTTTTTTTAAGAGCCTGGCTGATTTTTTTTTTTAAATCAAAATGGATGCGTAGCAGAAACTGCCAAGTGGTACTTCTACAGTAGAAATTGAAGGAACGAGCCATAACAGCATCCTTATGAAGCTGCAATCCTAGGATGAGAGTTCTAACGCCTCCAGTAGTTCTGCAAAAGAGAGTAAAATTACAACCGAGCAAATTTACTGTTAGCAACACACGAGGTCAAAACGCAAGCAAAAGAAATGTGCGAAGCAAGGCGTTATGTCCTGCGAAAAGAAGAAAAAGAAACAAGTTAAATAAATAAGCATCTAATATAATATGAAGAAAAGACAACATGTTGAAATTCACAAATTTGTATTGGACAATATTTTTGATCATGCGTTGCGTATGTGCCTTTTTTTCTTTTTTTTCTAATAATATCACCGGATTTGTATCATTGATGTTCCAATAAAGTCACTTATGTGCCATGCGTGATACACGCTTAGGCGATCATGTATCTTTCGATACATGACTGACGAAGCAGATTTTTTCCCGCAGTAGGTTGCCATTTCTTTCTGCGGTAGACCAGTTGCCATCGAAGGCTATAGAACCCGGGTCTGCCTTGCTATTTACCCATAGCCGGAGGGAGAAGAAGATTCATACTTTTTCCAAGGATATTAGCATGTAAGTGAATGTAATGGATTCGACTGGAATTTGAACTCGGCTCTCCGATTCCTCAATACGAGCCGCTATCCATTAATCCACCGATGATTAAAATTAAGAAAGATAACCACCTAAAACAAATACTTTACTAGTATTAGTCGTTCGTTTTCTCCCCTATCAATCAACCTCAATCTATTCACATGTCTCTATCTAATTTTTTGTCTATTTTTTATCTATCTATCTGTCCATCTTCGTGCCTGGTGAGCTAACTGATTTATTTTTATCTTTTTATCTATCTCTCTTGATACAAATGCAATATTCGACTGAGGTCCATCGGAGAAAACATGTACATCAGCGGGTTGACCTGAGAGATGGCCTTCCAGCCGCCAGGTACAGATCTACGCCTTCACTAGAATTCAGTGGCTGGCTCCTACATGTAAACAAGTGATCGACCCAGTTGTGCCTAGCATGCTCACACGTCGTCCAAACCGCTGGATACATAAGCACCCGTCCGAAAGCAAGAGAATGTAGATTCGACGTCCGGAGCATTTACTTAAATATTTGTATCTATAAAAAAGAATGTATAAACATAAAAATGTCTAAAACTAATTGTCGGACTTTGTCCATTTCATAATGTGTGACGTAATTTATTTACATTTGGATACGCATCGAGCAGATATGAATGTACGTGGGAAAACCATGGAACATTGTAGGTTAAAAACAGTAAAGTCGACCTTGATAACCAAAACGCTCCTCTGTGGCGAAATCGGTAAAAGCACATCAGGCTATATGACGGTTCCGTATAGGATACCTGTCGATTTCTGTCCGAGGACGTATATTTTCTATGACAATTTCTCGGACATTCAGGCCGGTACATGTTGTTAATACGGTTTATTATAAATACTTACTTAAATATTTGTATCTATAAAAAGAATGTATAAACATAAAAATGTCTTAAAATAATTGTCGAACTTTGTCCATTTCATTATATATATATATATATATATATATATATATATATATATATATATATATATATAACTTGCTCGGACAGAATAATGATGGCACTCTTTGTCAAAGTTAATGAATGTATCAAACTTTTAGAATCATTACAGCTTGGGCGATTGTTACTGGGGAGTGTTTTTCCTAAGTGGTAATTTCCCTGAGACAATATGTGTTATTCATACATCTGACGATGAGATGCCAAACTTTTATACTACCTCCCACCTCCTCCGGCCCAAAAAAAAAACATTGGTCATTGTAAACGATCTCACCCACTGTTTCGCGCACATACACACACACACACATATATATATATATATATATATATATATATATATATATATATATAAAGGAAAACTTGTCTTAGTCGGCGCATTTCGTCCACTAACTGAATTGTGCCACTTACTATCCTCCATAATTTCTCTAAACTTTTCAGTTAACCTGATGAATATTTATGAGCGTTTTAAATTTTAAATAACTAACAACATTTTTATTTACGTTTATAAATACTTGTTGCAAGCGAAAATCTTTACATTTGGCTTCATTTGCGTCAGAGCAGGAAGCACATCAGCTAATATAAGTTTTCCTTTTTCTCTATATTTTGTCATTTTACAGATATATATTTTTAGCATACTTTAAAAATATGATATATGATAAAATATACTTAAACATATTTTATCATATATATATATATATATATATATATATATATATATATATATATATATATATATATATATAGTAAGAGAGA